CGTAAACGGCCGTATACGGCAACGTTTACTACCGTTTTATAACGTTTCCGACCGTAAATCGCCGTAATTCGACGTTTTGGCATGCACCGTGTTACGGCCGTATTTCGCCGTGTCGTAAACGGTTACTAACGGCCGTAATGTGGTCGGATATTGCAGTATCCGACCGTATCCGATCGTTTATGGCACGATGCCAAACGACTGTAATACGGTGCATAGCAAACGGCCGTAAATTGTGGTCAAACGGTCGTGTACGACACAAGTTGATCGACCTGGGGAAAAGAAAATCGTAAAAAGCGCACATTTTAACGCGTTTAAACGCGTTCATTTTTTGAACGAAGTAATGTTCGTTTAGTAACTTTAACGCGTTACGAACGCGTAGAAATGTGCGCTTTTTACGATTTTTTTTTCGTTGAAATTTCGACGCGTTTTTACACGTTTTTTTTAAATAGTTTGTCTGACTGGGTAGAATTTCCTGGATTGTCATTTGAATAATATTTTGCTATGAAGCATTGAATTGATTCATTGTTGAAAGACATGACATCAAATAACAACTGTATGAAATGGATAATGATGATAATATCAATCAACATGAAGCGGATATATCAAGACATAAGAGAAGCGATGATACACGGGCGAGGATGCGGATGTCTCCTGCCATGAGTAATGTAATTTCTCTAGCAATATCCTAAAAAATGTGCTACACATTTTTCATTACAATTTGTCGCATAGTCGCTCCATTGTAATAAGTACTATGCTCGTAGGCTATTCACCGACTCTGGTAGATACTTATTGAAGTGCACTTGAGAATTTGTACTAGTCTGAGTTAATGAGATTATTTATCATGATGAATTAAATTCTAGTAATAAGGTTAGAATTTGACGAGTGCACGTTTTGTTTGCAGATATTCCGGTGGAGACACTCGAGAAATAATTTCTGTTTGAAATAAAGATATCCATTATTATTATCTTAAATTAAACTATATATTAAATAATATACAAATCTCCTATAAGTTGAAGAAAATGATATGCTGATTTTTTTGTTTCTTATTGATGGGAGAGGATGCGATACATTTTTTTTTTGTTGAATGACTCACGTTCGTAGGCATTCTTTTTCATTTTCTTTTCTCTTGATGCAAGTAAATCAATCAACTGTTATTTTTGGCTTTTATTTATTATAGAAGATGAGATGATTCTAGAAATGAAAAAATAGCCTTCTACTTGAGTTCCTCATCTACCTGATATATACAATGGAATTTCTCTCATTTTTTCCATCAAACAGTAAGATTTCTTGCATCTCTGTTCTCAAAAATATAAAACTGCAAAATTTGAAATACAATAAAACCGCTTTCGAATTAATATCTAGTTGTTATTCATGTGAAAGTGAATGCGGATGTTAGAGGGTAAAAAGATATCCATACCCTACACCCACAAGGATGCTCGTCAAAGTAAGACTGGCGTTTTATGAGTTCAGGAAAGTCAAGCATGAATTCAATTCATCCTTGTACACCGAAACTCTTAAGCCTTTGTGTCAAGTTATATTATTGATGTTTACTCTGCACACACTGCAAAAATTTCTCTTTGCCTGTTTGCATCGTACGATAAATAATCAGCGATGTTGAGCAATGCACTTGAAAACACTGAATCTCGTCGTCTATTGGGTGTTGTTGATGAAATGAGAGAAATACTGCATCACGAAAAAATTGCTCTTCCTCAGATTGTTGTAGTTGGTGATCAATCTGTAAAGAACAATTGAATTCGATAGGCTTAACACTGAGAATTTTCTGTCTACTGAAAGGTTGGAAAATCATCTGTACTTGAAGCTTTGAGTGACATCCAACTTTCCCGGGCTCAACAGATCTGTACGCGTTGTCCGTTCGAACTACGCATGAAAAATACAACATCAAATGAATATGCCACGATTCGATGTGAGGGTGTCAAAGAGATAAGAATCACAGATTTCGGTACAATCGCTTCCACGGTGACCGCATGTACCATAAAACTAGCCGGAAATCAGCATGATGTTTCGGCATTGCCAATATATTTAACAGTCTAAAAGAAAAGTATTCGAGAAGATTTGACACTCATAGATCTTCCAGGTACGTAGGTGGCCAATCAAAAGATGTTTATGAGAAAACAGTCAAACTCATTATGCGGTACATTGAACCGCCAACCGCTATTATTTTACACGTTATTCCATCATCAGTAGATTTTACAACTTCTGAGTCGATGAAAATCTCGAAAGAATATGATCCAAATGGTAAAAATATTTCACGATACTTAAACCATTGTGAGCATTACTATTCTTTTTAATAGGTGAACGGCAGCTAATTGCCGTATCAAAAATCTGAAATCGACTGCTGGACACTATACAACGATTTAGTAAAACAATACCAGCTACTTGTTCATGCCCGCGTTCATGGCATTTATGATGGTGATTTTGAAATGAAGACACAAGAATCACCGGAAAGCTCAGCTACCCGAAGCGTGACGTCTGTTTTCAACTCGGCCGGTAAAAACTCGCTAGATGATCGGATCGCTCTTCAGTTGTACAGGTATCAAAAAGATTGTGCCACAGAAATTAGTGAATCATTCTCGCCATTCTTCTCATCAGCATACTGTAGCAATGTAGTAAAATTATTAGAAGAGAATGCTAGTGTCGCCTTACCAAATTTTCCATCATTTAGCATAATTGAACAGCTCTACCATCATGAAGCACGTAAAATTCAAAAGCCGTGCATCAACCTGATTGGGTTGTACGTAGAATACTTAAAAAGAGTTCTGGTTGGTTTTTTAAATCGAGTATTTGTTGAAGAGACAAGCTACAAATACCACATAACACAAAAGTTAACCGATATTATCTTGCGTACACTTAATGAAAGCGAAGAGTATTGCACTAAAGACGTAAATAAGATGCTGACTATAGAGCAACGGGTATTCACGCTCAACCACTAGTGCATGGACACAGTGAACAAAATTAAAATCCATCTTCTAAATTACAAATCTTCAAACCAACTATCGAGTATGTGATAGATGTTGAATCTAGATGTAGACTCTTTTGATTTTTTCTAATAGCTATAGACAAAACTGCCAAATCAAATGTAATCGTAAATGATTTTGAAATCAATGTCGCTGGCCTCTCCAACGAATATCAAGCAGCGCTTGATGTACAAATAGCGATATCAGCCTACTGCCGTGTAGTTCAAAAACGAGTAGCAGACGAAATCGCAAAGCTCTGCCATTATTGGCTAATTACCCGGTGCGCTCTCGTCATGGATGCCAAATTTAGCTCAGCATTTACCTCGGCTGTACTCTTCGAGTGGATGCGCGAACCGTTTGATCAACAGCAGAAACGTGAAAATCTCAAACGAAGCATTTTAGCTATAGAAAGAGCACTGATGACAGGGCAGTCTGTCTAGGCGACTCTATTGGAGCATTATTTTCGTAGTATAGAAAATTTATGACAATCATGAACCCACAGACTTTCTAGTATCCCTTGATTTTGATATTGCCGTTGATCATTTTACTATTACAATTAATAGTCCGTATCAGAAAATCCGCATGCCAAATAATTGATTTTAGAATGTTGGCGAGTAGAAATCTAGTACACTATCAAGCAGTCCTTATACTATAATATCTAATCGTTTCTAGTGCTGATGAGCAGAATGTCGGTGAAAATTCACTGAATGTGAGTATCAAGCTAATCATAATGCGTTTCGGCCTTGCTCAAGGACCTCACTAGGTAGCTTGTATTTAGTGTGATTGAGAACACACCCTATTCCACGGTGCTGAACATTGCGGAGCCAGTTCCGAGCACGAAACCAATTTCCGGAATTGAGTTATCATCCTCTTATTGTCATTTGTTGGGTGTTGTTGTAGAAGATTAGAAAACGTGCCTACCAACTTCCACATCCCGCACGCTCACCCACACCATTCGTACGACTCTGGGAATCGTTCGAATAGATTCAGGAATGTTCAAAATTGTCGAATAGAATGACTGCTAAAATAAGCTTGATGAAACAATTGAAGCAATGGAAAATAGGTTATTAGGCCGAAATGATGATGCCAAATTAGGTCAACTTAACTATTTTGAAAATGAGCAAAAGTCTAATAGTAGCTGGAAGTTAAAAGATAATTAAGAAACAGAAAAAGTAGAAATCAACTGATAGATCAAATAATAATATGAACCGTAGCTACTGAAGAGTTTCTCTGTTTGTTGAGAGTATTCTTTCGCCCATCAAATATGGTTTATATTTTTGTTTGTACTGATAAATTTATTTGATACAGATGCTGCCCAACTCACAGCTTTTAAAAATCGAAAATACATCTAATAATTATTAATTGAACAGTGTCTTACAAATGATACTTCGTTATCGATTATGAATTGTCTCAAGGATCTGCTCATTCGTTTCGAGCCAAACGTTGCGATGGGTGAGCACATTCAGTACTTCAAGAAAATGAACAAAATAAGAAATCATCTAAAATATTTAATCCTACCAAACGAGAGTGTTAGTATGAAATGAACCTAACTGGATGCATTTTTGTTCTAGCGATTTTAAAATCCACAACTACATTTAATAACTACTCAGGTAGGATTAAACGCTAGGTGATTCTTTGCTAGGTCTTCTGGATTTATAACTTTTACCTGTAGTTCTAACATTTTATTCTAGATCGACCAAAATTGCTATTAAGCTTTTCGTGTTCTTCAAGTACTGAATGTTTTCGACGAAGATCTTGATATATTTATTTAGATTGATGTAATCTGAAATAATTACTCTCATTTATTTAGAAGTGTGCGCCCTCTCTCGTTCTCTTATCGATTCATTTTTCATTGACTTAACTGAATGAACCAATAATATTGTTTTCCTTCCTCTCATATTCTTACGACCAATGCAATAGGGGTACCGTTGATCGCAAGAAGTACCTTTTATTCTAGAAAAATGCCGTCAGCACACATTGAACGTTATATTCGTTCCATATTTGTACAAAATATACCAGCCGGTATAACAGAGGATCTTTTTCGACAAATGTTAAGTCAATTTGGAGTTCTAATTCATTTTCATATGTTTCTTGACCCAAGCACAGTCATTAATTCCAATGAACAAAGTATACAAACATCAAGAAGTTATGCTTTTACCGAAGTAAGTTCATCAACATTTGTTTTTTACTATCTCACTCTTGACTGATACGAGATAATTTACTCGAGTAGACGAGATTATCATATTTTTAAATTATATAGTTCTCGTGAAACAAAAATTGTTCCCACAGTTTTTTTTATTACACAAATATTTCTAGTTTGCATCGAATGATATTGCACAAAAAGTTATTCAAAAATTAAATGGCTTGGATTTGGGTGGTTTCCGACTTGTCGTCGATTTACTTTCTAATCAAGCTGAACCAATAATGAATTTATTTGAACAATTTTGTGCAACAAAAACAACAGTCACATCATCGAACAAAAACGATCCACGTCTAGCTAATGCAACAATATCTCAATCATCAACAACATTACCTTTAACAACAGCGACCATTGAATCAGCTAACATCACTACTGCTGTTACTAATACAAACAACAATAATAATAATATTAAAGAAGATCGTGAATCAATTTCGAATGCCGTTGCTTCATTACCTCCAGCTCAAGTTAGTCATAAAAGTAAATCAAACAGATTATTAAAATTTTTGTTTTTTCTTAAATAGATGTTTGAATTAATGAAACAAATGAAACAATGTATTGAAGCAAATCCAAATGAAGCTAAAACACTTTTATCAACAAATCCTCAATTAGCATATGCTCTTTTGCAAGCACAAGTTGTGATGCGAATCGTTGATCCACAAGTTGCAATGGTCTTACTTAATCGTACTGATAAAGATGTTATACCAGCTCCTATCGATGTTAAAAAGCCGACACAAACAATGACACAACCAACAGCAGCAGCGACGGCTCCACTTCCACTTCTGGTTACAAACAATCCAACTGCACCGTTTCCTTTTCCAGTTATTCCTGGAGTTCCATTTTCAATGCCTATGATGGCTCCCAATAACGCTACTGCACAACAAGCTGCAGCCAATGCGCTTTTTCAAGCCGCTCTTTTTTCCGGCGCTGGAATGTTTTCTGGTTCATTGATACCACCTCCGATGCCACACAATGCACAATTCCCAACTGTTCAACCATCATTTCCACCGCAAATAAATCCTTTAGCAACGTCGATGCGTACACCAAATCTTGATGAGAATGCTGCACTGCTTCTATTACAATTGGATGATGCTCAATTAGCACAATTACCTCCTGCACAGAGTATGCAAATTCGTTCGTTACGTGAACAAATCGCTAAAACTGGTTTATTACCTAAAATGTAGTGAAAATGTTATTTTTTTGTTCTGATATAAATAAAGAAAAGCATAATTAAAACAATTTTTGTTTTTCATTTGTAAAAATAAAATTTTGTTGAGACAAAACCTTTCTACGAGATAGAGGGTGTAGGTGTGTATCGTTACTGAACACCCACATCCCGAGACTTTGTAATTTAATGTAATAAACATTTTATGTTAAAACAGATTATTCTTTTTGCAAATATGAAAAATGTTTCTCGATACTTGACTTGCAGCCTTTGATGAACAACAAAAAGTCATCAGTAGAAATATCATTGGTTTGTTGATTAAAAATTGTACAAAATCCAGTCTATTGTTGGAGCGTTTGTCAGGAAAAAGACGATTAAAATTATAACACAGTAAAGAGAAAGAAAAACGAATGCCAGATATCGACACGTCGTTCGGCAGATGTTAGGTTGATGATTGTGTAGAAGCGGAAAGCCGAGTTTACCAACACCAACGAGAAAGCCCATTAAACCGCCACCAACATGAGCTGAGTGTGCCACGGTCCATCTTAAAGCAATCGGTACAATTATAGTGACGACGATAGGAAGTAAAACCAGCAAGAGTAAGTAAATGAGGATGGAAATCCAACGATCAGTATTCACTTGCATTGCAATAAGACGGTCGACAGTCAAGAATAACATTAGACCGTACACAGAACCGGAAGCCCCAACACTGGCTAAAAAAATAAAGAAAGACAATCATAGAGTTGAGTAGTTAGGATACGAAAAAGCACCGATGAATACATACACCTGCCTGTGTCATTAAATTATTGAAATTGAGAAATAAAAAAGCGAATGTTACTGACTATTTTTCTCGTTTCTTCAATGTCTATTAATTTAAAAACTGTACGTTCTCTACATTTTTGGGATAAAATTCTAAAACATAATAATTATTTTCAACGTTTACTTACAGTCTGCTCTATTTTTTATCATGTAAGTTAAACCAGAACCGAGCTCTGAAAGCCAGTAAATAAAAATTACAAGAACTGAACCATATTTGCGTTCTAGTGGAATGCCGTACAAGAATAGTTGTGAGAGATTAGCAAGCAGATGAACCCAATTTATGTGGATCAAGTTAGCGGTTACCATACGCCACAATTGGTGTGGATACATGAAAGAAAAACACATCTTTTTGAGTGCATCATCGTAATAACATGTTTGATTTCTCATCATTGAATCACAACTGACGGTGCGCATGCGAATTTTATCAGGTGTTGGTCGCATACATGGTACAAAAAACCGAAAAAGATTAATTAAAATTGAATGAAAATTTTGACCGTTCCAAGCGACGTACACGTATGTCGAGAGATGAGTAAAAACGAGTAAAATACACATACTGATGATAAATATAGGACGATGATGCTCTCGACTTGATGTATTATCAAGGTTAACGATGCCCCGAAAAAACAGGCAGATATTGTTCTTTTTAGTGGAAATCGGTTTTTCGAATTGTATTGTTAAAGGTTCTTCCGTTTCCAATTCGATATTATCTTGAATATGCATTTTTTTCCTTTTGTTTTTGTGCTTTTATACTAGTGATGGTAAATTATGGAAGTATATTCACGCGATGGAAGACGATGAACGGTCTGCTTTTTCTTTCTAACAAATAGAATGAGAAGCGACTATGAGATAGTATTACATTTATTTTTTGTTCTCTTTCATATCGGTTCACATATGGTTTTCTCTTTTCTATGAAACAACGATACAGCATGGCATTTTTTCTTCTTCTTATGAGCATCATCTAAACGTATTACTAATAAACCAATCAAATAAATGTCAGAATTCTCAAAAATTACCATAAATGATTGATAACTTACATGTGTATTTATCGTCTATATGGGAGTTGCTCAGACTTTTTAAAACAAAAACTTCAATTGATTTTTTTCTTTTAAGTTAATTATATTTTTTTACTGGCAAAAATTCATTTTATTTAATGCATGGGTGTGGGTGTGCGTGCGCGTATTCTTATTTTCAGTGACACACCCACACCCTTGTGTTTGTTTTCTCGTGAACAGATGAAGCCGTTCACTAACAAAGGGTGGAGGTATTAGGCAGTGGCGCTATCTGAGACCACTATCTCTCTCTTTGTTCTCACATCTATCTATTGGTCAAGAGACCTAAGTGAAGTCGTATTGGAGGAGATGTTAGAGTTGTTGAAGTGATTCGAGTCGGTGTTTCCAATGGCAAGTGTACACAGCAGAAGCAAAATGTACAGAACATCTGCTAGTTTTGATTTACACTCTGCTATACACTTGCCCAGAAAAACCAGTAGTGTCAAACTTGAAACTTGAATTCAACTGAAACTTCAAGTTTCACGTTTCAGGTTTAACGTTATTGCTCTGACACTACTGCTTCCCGGCACCCACATTAAGGGTACATATGTGTGTGTAGACAAGCGTATCTCCCTTCCCCGGCACCCACACCCTTGAAACTTGAAACTTGAAGTTTCAGTTGAATTCAAGTTTCAAGTTCGACATGTACGAGAAAAACAAAGTGTGCAATGTACACTTTTCTAAAATAGTTTACTCTCTGATTTCTTTGATCTCTGAACCTTAAAAGCCGCATATAATTTTAAATCAATTAAGTACATAGTTTTACGTTAATTAAGTATGATATTTTTTTTTCGCTAGCGATCAAAATATCTGTTTCATGAAATAGAAAATGACAAAAATTATGTTTTGTTTTCTTGATCATGAAAATTGGGCTTTTGTACACTTTGATACACTTTGCTGAAAAAAGTAAAGTGTAATGTACACTTTGCTCTTAAGAAACAAAGTGTACAGTACATTTTGTTGAAGAAATAAAGAGTTCGGTAAACGTAACTATCTAACAGGCAGTTTCCTTATGCTGTACCTGTTCTTTGTCCTACTATATAGTAGACAGAGAAATATCAAACACAGGATTTTGTAGAGCAGACTTCGCTCTATCAATTCTTATAAGAAAGTAGTTTCGGCCATCTTTTCACGCCGAAAAGATCGATGAAAATTTTTTTTTTTTAAATCTAACGTTTTGCCATACCTAAATCGTTTTTTTTGCTGTTCAATGTGATAATTTTTTTCTTTAATAAAACATATTGTTAGATAAAGAGAGAATTTTCCTTGTTCGATCTCCTTTTGTCTCATTTCGGATAAAAATTTTCCGACTTTTTTTCAATTAGTGTTACCATATGTCGAAAACAGAGTCGGCTCAAGAACACTCGGTAAGTCATCATCATAAATCTATATTTATCATCTTTTAAATAGCTCCAGGCTTATATTTGCGAACATAATTACTGACTTAACAATGACCGATTGAAATAAGTTTTGTGTCTATAGTTTGTTCTTTTAATAGGAAGAAAGATTATTTTTAAAGTTTCTCAGATACTTTCATTAGAGACTGTGCCAGTCAATTATCATGATTAATGTATGTACTAAATAGACGCGTAGAATCTACCCATAAGTGACAATGTGCGTTGGTGGAAATTTCGGTAAAATTATTGACTAAGAAATTCTTTTAATATGAAAAAGTAAGAGAAAATGTTTTATTTTGTTGATACTAGAATGTGAGCTTCCTACACAGATTATCTGCTGTATTTATTAGTAGAAAATAGTGCAACTGATTTTCTATTTCTTTCTTGTGCATCGATAGCAGCAGGGAATTGTTGAAGAATTTGTTTTGGCCGGGGAAATTTTTCATTTTAACAGTAGATTCTGCATCTCTGCTACGAGGTCTCTAACTAGATGATCATATAGCGATCGTTTGATAGATACCATATGATTCACGATGGTTTTTACAAGCGAATGAAAGCTACACATTTTTGACAGGTAGTAGAAAAATCGCGGTGGTTAGCCCTCGAGCTGTACTACTCTCGTCTAATCGAGAAATATGAAAGTCAATGTAACTCAAAAATGAATGAAATCTCAGAATGATGTGCTCTAGCGGATTAAATAACAGGAAATGGAAACTGTTTCTGCAAACTTAATTGCTTGTTTCGGGATCTGGAAAGATAGAGAACATCATTTGAAGTCTTCAGTCAAAATTTCAGCTCTAGCAGCAGTCAAATAGTTGCACTGTGATCATCAGCAATAGTCATTAGAAGTAATCACCAACGAAGGCTTAAAAGGGGCTTAGAGAAACCAGGAGAAAATTATAAAAACGATACTCACAGGTCAACTGAGTCTTATTGAATAAAAGAAACTTCTGGAGACGGTAAACTCACCCTAGTCCCAGTATAGCTTAGTCAATAATCAAAAGTGCTTGTATTATTAAAACTTGATGGTTATGAATTATGATGATTTAGAATGAACGGAAAGGAATTTTATCATTGACTCTTTTTCCTTTCAGTACATTTGGTGTCCTTCATGTTCTGCTTTTCAACAACACGCTGCAGGCGTTTTCATTTCTTGTATCATGGGATTGATCACGATGATTGTCTGTTTATGGCGTCGTGCAGAATGTTTGGTAAGTGAAATGAATCTGTTTCTCACGGTTCACATCAGCGATTGGGCACTCAATGCAGTACTTGGTACTTTTCGTACATTTGATACTCAAAAATTGTAATTACATTTTACTTGAGTCCGTTTGCATTTGTTACTTTAGACTATTATAGCTTGCTTTTTTTAATAATGGCTATGTAGCGAGAAAGTGTAGAACTCTCTGCATCGCATGATGTATTTATCATAAATAGCGCGAATCGAATTAAACAATAAAAAATACATCAGAAAAAAGATGCTATTTTTTGTCACTGTAATCTGCAGCAAGACTAAATCAGTATTCAGAAGTTCATTTTCACAAATCTGCCTATTTTATTAATAAAAATAGTAATTTCGTACTATTAATAGAAATTCTGAAAAGAACTGCAACTTAAACTTACTGTTAAATATCTAACGCCGAGGATCGAGTAACGATAGATCCCTCTTCTCTACTTTCACAAGCGTTTTATTCATTATCGAGACAAGAAATAAGCAATGCATATGAAAAATATGATATTACATATATGGAACT